TCACGGTCATGGCCCGCATAGCTGGTCCTAGAAGGCTTTCTACTCGTGCCTGCGTTCGATACTTTCCTGTTGCTGTGTCGCAGTGGTGCTTGGGTTTTTTCTTGGGTCGGTTGGGCTCGAACTTGTCCGGTTTTCCTGGCCGATTTTGGCTCATTGTTTTTGCCTGCCGGTCAAACACGAAGAGAGACGAAGGCTGCGGCACTGAATGAAGCCAGAAGGCCTAGCCATTCATCGTAGTCGCTGGGTTGGAGATTCTCGCCCACTCGGTCCAGATACGGCCAAGTACCCTGGTCGACCCCGTCCATCGAGTGGCCCCAGACAGGCCATGACTGTTTCGACCCTTTGTGGGAGGAAGTCTGCCCTCGGCGTCCTCTGCTGAATCGGCGTGTTTCTGGCGAAAGCGAGGCTTGACCGAATTTCCGTCACTCCATAGAATTTGATTTTTGGCGACTGCGGTCTTTTTTGAGGTCGAATGATCCGTTGTTGTTGCTGTTTTTGTTTTCCAGCCCAGCTGGTAGAACTTACAAGAACTGGACGGTGGGAAAACGGTGGTGAGGCCTTGGGAGGGGCTACCGTTTCCAGATCAGCAGACGCCGGTGTAAACAGCGTGAAGGGCCGCGAACGAGCGACAACGCAGATTACAGACGAATGCAATGACTTTGAGAACGACGATGGACAGCAGGAAAGTGAAGCAGCAGAGAAGTGAGGGAAAGGTTAGAAAAGAGGAGGAAAGGGAATGGGGGCAGGTTGGGCGATTTATGTGAATTAAAGTACATGGCGGATGTACCTCCGTGCTGGTACTGGTGCTGGTGTCGGTCCTGCGCTCCTCCCAGTTCGGTCCCATTTCCTTTACAGTGCCTGCCCGTCCCTGCTTTACGGTGTCGGACAGCTGCAAAACGGTACCTTGTGCTTGGGTAGCCCCTCCGATGAGCTGGGCACTTCCTGCCTTGCTAACGTTTTACTCTTCACTTCATCCGTGACTCTTGTCTTCGCTTTCGTGCCATCCTGGCTCTGGTTTAATCCATGGAAAGAAGGAGCAAAGTTGGGCTGAGGAAGTCGCAGCCACCCATGTGTCATGCGGGTGCTGGTGGGAACGAGGAAGGAACGTTTGTGACCCGATTGAAAGGCGGCGAGGAAGGTACCTGCCCACCCTACCTGCCGTGCCTGCTAAGGGAACTTGGCTACCTACAAGGTGAAGCAGGTACTGGACGGGTGGGTACCTCAAGGTAAGTAGGTGCTTCCCCAAGATAATCAGCAAGGTAAAGCAGGAATCACCAGGCCGTTTTAAAGTGAGAATTGCCATTGCAATGGAAGGAAAGAAAATCCCATTTGTGGCTGCCTTGCCAGCACCGTGCTTTCCATGGGAATGAAGTTGACGTCGGGGCGGCCTTTGGGGGGGAGGGAGGGGGTAGGGAAGCCTCGGAAATCAGCCAACATCACCTCCCGTCCTCCCCCATTCTGATAGACGCCTCATTTAGACCGTGTCAGTAAAGTGGTCGCTGTATTTCACTTGTACGCACCCGTCAATAGATTTTACTTCTTTTTCAGCCGTCTATTTCCCTTTCCTCCCATCATCCCCATGCTCACGCCATCTCGACCATCCCACCGAGTTTCTCGTCTTTCTTCACGTCGAACTTGTACCTCTACAAATACGTTCAGGCACTTTTCAGCAAGAAAGATTGCCCAGCAGTAGTTGAGGACCAGCTCTGCATATCCACGTGTGCCCCCTTTTCTCCGATTTACGTTATTGTGAGAAACACGCCCTGTCGAATAGCAAAATGCAAATTCCTGCCTCATCTCATCTCATCGCTTGCTCCGGCCTTTCTTCCCCGCCGTTCCTCAATCTCGCGCCCTTTCTACCTTAACCCACAGTCCAATCCAATCCAATCTAAACCCCGTTCAAACGCACGGCTTCGTCTTTCCCTTTGGTCTTTGGTCTTTGCCTTTGCCACGCTGGCTGTGTGGTAGCTGGTTGGTTGGCTGCTGGGCCCGGCCTGGCGCATCTTGTCTCTGCCACGCCGCTCATCAAGGATGGTAGCTTCGGATCCTCTTCTCGTCTCTTATTTTGCAATAACCTTTTGTTCCCTTTTTCCTGTCTCATTGCGGTCACAACCAATGGAATGGATGTGCTGCTTCGCGCAAGAGCACCTTCATCTGCCTGGATTCCCATGGCTTGAACCCTCTTCGGCTATCTTTCCTGTTTGTGTGTTGCCGTGCCTCAGTGCCTCAGGGTAGGTAAGGTAGGTAGGTATTGGATGGGGGCCAGCCTAAGGTTGTCTCCATTCATGGATGTCACCAAGCCCAGCATCGGCTCCATCCGGGAGATGATGGGACGAGAGACGAGACGTGGATGCGCACACTACACTAATCACACGAGATAGAAAATCACCATCAGCGCTTGCTTCGCATCCCCTTCAGCTTTGCTCGATCTGGACGAATCCATGTCAACTGTGCCTCTATTCGATCCTGTACAACCTCCATCAGGAAGGACTTTCAAGTATCGATTCTCACCTCAGCCGGTGCAATGACTAAGGTACTCTATCTCGCTCTCATCGCCATGCCCTTGGCTTCACCGCTCGAACCGATTCAGACTCACACCTCGAAATTCCCATGTCTCCCCACTCTTGGACACACTTGTTGTCGTGGCCAAGCACCCAAGATGCCGGACCGCATGGATGGCCCGCCATTCACATTTACGGATACAAAAGCGTCCCTCCATCTCGCCAAACCCCCCTCATCAACCCTGAGGCAGTTAATGCCAAAGTTCAGGGACTGCTTAGCTAGAACGTCGCGGGCATCGGGATAGCTACTCGATTCGCTCCCATTACAATGCAAGGAAAGCTCTGAGCTTTTGAGCACATCCTGAAACAAATCATCGCCATCACGGGCGTGAGCGTTTCCTGGTGGGTGCAGATCTGCCCGAGAAAAGGCGCACTATCCAACCATCCATCATCCTCCCTTCCTCGAGACCTAAATCTGACCAGCGAACGCCAAAGCTTTGGCGCCCGCCAGCCTTGATCTCGACCCACCTCCCCTCACTCCCGACATTATGAGATTTCATGGTATGCAGTGGCTCACTTCCATGTGAGAGTACAGGATTCCTGTTCTCTTGATAAAGACGAAGCCAGCATCCGTAGCAAACTACGAAAAGAAGACCAAGCTGTGAGGCCTGCCTTGGTTGCGAAGTATGAGCAATGCATCATTCTCCCAGTCTCAACGGTTTGTGCTCAGTGTTAGGGTATGGGTATTGGTGCGAGATCTCAGATTATCCTCCTCTTGACAAGGTGAAGGACGATGGGCTTACGACGCGATGAGAAACTGAGTTTCTGGCAACACTTGCATAGGCACCACCGAGCGATGAGCAGAGTTCGTCGAGCCGTTGGCCTACATGAGCGTCCTGTTGTCCTCTGCCTCTGCCTCTGCTATCCTCCAGCATCCCTCCCCGCCATCTCACCCCCCCTTTGCTACCGTCCCTTTCCCAGCCCTGCCCATCCGCCCTGCGACCAATCTGCACTGGGCGTTCGAACGGAACTTGTCTAGCGTAAACGTCGGCTCCACTGCTTCTGTGTGGCACAGACCTTCGACGGCGCCGCCAACCTGGATGCCCGATGTTTGTTGGTTCTGTTGCTCTCATCCCGATGCCTGTGCATCCTGTAGATGATTACTATCGCGATTTGTGAGATGACGCGAGTAGGAAAGTGTTGATGTTCATCTCCATGATTACGTCTGCGTATCGTGTTATTTAAAACTGCGGTGCAAGGAAAGTACTGAAGCAAGGGTCTAGTCCAGATTCCTGGGTGTAAACTGTGAACATCGTGTGAAAGTAATACCTGAAGTAAACGCCTCTATATCTATCACTGAAAAAAAAGAACATATTATCCTGATCAGTATATAACTCATTTCTGAGGCGATGCTATCGATGAAATACTGCAACTAGGTTTTTCGCGATGGATGAAGTGAGGCTGTGAGCTCGATCAAGCCTCAGCATATATTGGAAACAAGAGTTCCGTGTTATACCTCTTTGAAAAGTCTGTTACATCTCGATTGAAACAAGCCAATAGTCCTCTTCAAATTTTATCATTCAGCCTCTTATGTTTAGTTTCCACTGAGTGAACCCACTCAGGAGTCAGAACACCAGCGTGGAGAAACAGCGGGAACAGAGGCTTTGATAAAATGTAGCTCGTCTCTCATTAAGAGTGCTACATAACAAGAAGATGTAATCACTGTCTATTAAATACTCCTCGTCAAGGTTTATATATGAGGTCGATGTCACGGAAATTGACTTTTATTTTCGAGAAACCATCGTGACGGGTCTCCTAACGTGTTGATTTTGGAACGAATTGAAAAGAAAAAAAGAAACTTATCATGAGAGATGTGCTCGAGCGAAAGAGAGGACGGTGAGCTAAAGACCAACTCCAAGCACCTAAGAACTGTACTTGAGCTCCTGGACAGGATGTTGTATCTCATTGTGGCTTTATGCCTTCATGACCAATCTACATGCAGCCCATGAGAGAGGAATTCGGTGAGACAGAGGCCACCTCGGTGAGTATGGCACGTGAGCAAGCCTCATTTCTCATCAAGGTGTGGCTCAAATCCACTTTACACGACTCACGGACCACCTCACCCCGCTGTGGACGCTGAACGCTGAACGCTGCCCTCCGCTGTGATCGAGGCATGCCGCAGACGGCAGGACCCCGGTCCCCTGAGGTCGAGTCCCGAAGGGCGTACAATACCTAAGGTAAGGCAGGCACGCCGCACGCAGAAAAGCCCGGGCAGGCTCAGAGGCTGCACCGGCCGTCAGGCGTTATCGATAACCAAAAATTTCTTTACTTCCGACCGCGTCGCGTCCCGCACTTCACTCTTGACTCTCTTTCTTCCCTCCCCTCCATTCTGCCAAACAAGAGTTGATCGCCACCAGACAGCCTCGCCCCTCATCTTGAACGTATACGATACCCTCCTACGAACGATTTTTGTTGTCCTGTCGCAAAAAATCAGCCATCATGCGTTACGTTCTCGTCTCAGGCGGTGTCATCTCTGGAGTGGGCAAGGGCATCATCGCCTCTTCCACGGGTCTGGTGTGTATCCGAACCCCTGTTAAAATTTCCTTATCTGCTGGCTGTGACTTGACACTCTGAGAGCTCTGCCATACCAAGCCATTGAAGAATGGCGGGGTGTTTTCTTCTGGAAATCCCACAGCCATATCATGCATGCATTCAATGCAGTCAGCCTCGAATGATGCATCATTGCTAACCGTTAGGGTTTCCATGAATAGCTTCTCAAGACCTTGGGACTGCGCGTAACTAGCATCAAGATCGATCCGTACCTGTCGGTAAGTGAAACCGCCCCTGAACCCCTCTCTTGACCATGTGTCCCAGTGACTGACGATGACATGCAGGTCGATGCTGGTCTTATGGCTCCTGCCGAGCACGGCGAATGCTTTGTGGTTCGTATTCCTCGAATCCTGGAGTGCCATTCCTGGTCCGGTGAATAGGAACAAGTGTCTCTATCCAAGCCACATCTAAGATGATGGAATTACCGGAGCAGTCTTTAATGATGTGACTCGACGGAAAACGCTGACCATCATCAGTTGCACGATGGCATGGAGGTGGATCTCGGTAGGTGAACCTCTGGACGACATCTGGCCCATGGCTTACTCCCCCCTTTTCTTCCCGGGGGGAAAAGCCATCGCCCTTCACATCAATCGCAAATCTCTGACAACGAGGCTCGCACACAGACCTGGGCAACTACGAGCGCTACCTCAACATCCGTCTGACGGGCGAGCACAACATCACCACCGGCAAGGTGTACAGGCATGTCATTGACAAGGAGCGCCGCGGCGATTACCTTGGAAAGACGGTTCAGGTGTACGTTTGGCCTCCGTAGGTCTACCTACATCTTTCAATCTGCTGACGGATGCCAGCGTGCCTCACGTCACCGATGCGATTCAGGACTGGATCGAGCGTGTTGCCAAGATCCCCACAGACGACTCTGGCGAAGAGCCCGACGTCTGCATTATCGAGCTTGGGTACGTCTAGCTGGTCCCTTTCCAATATACAACGACGTACTTCGCAGGCCGATTTTCGATTCGAGATCACGTCGTCACGGATACCAGTCGGTTTAGATGCTTACATGCTACTGCAGAGGCACAGTCGGTGATATCGAGAGCGTACGTTTTTCCGAAGACGTGCTAGACGAAGAGGACGTTCCTTTTGAAGTATTCTAACACCACATCTAGATGCCCTACGTCGAGGCATTGACTCAATGTTTGTGCTACAAGTTCTCCCGGGCTGGTTCGACTGCTGACTCCTCGTAGTGCGCCACAGAGCCGGAAGCGGCAACTTCATCCAGATCCACGTCTCCTACGTACCCACCATCCACGGCGAGCAGAAGACGAAGCCCACACAGCATGCCGTGAAGACGGTCCGCAGTTATGGCCTGGTTCCTGATATGGTAGGATTGGTTGCTTCTGATGGTTCGTCCTACTGCTAACGAATGCGCAGATCGCCTGCCGCTGCGAGCAGCCCCTTGAGGAGGCTACGGTAAGGAAGATCGCCCTTCTTTGCCAGGTCGACGTTCCTCAGGTCCTCGTCGTTCGCGACATGCCCACCATCTACCAAGTTCCCCTCCTCCTGGAGGAGCAGAACCTCATCCCCTGGCTGCGCAAGGCTGTCAACCTAGACGCCCTGTCCATCTCTCAGTCTCGCATCGCCGAGGGAGCAGCACTATGGAAGACATGGGCTTCTGTCGTCAGCCGCCCATACGACGGTGAGATCAACATCGCCCTTGTCGGCAAGTACGTCAAGTCTCAGGACGCCTATCTGTCCGTTGTCAAGTCTCTTGAGCACTCGGCGATGCACCTGCGCAAGAAACTCAACATCTGCTGGGTTGATGCCGAGCACCTCGAGATCCAGGCCAAGTCCGCGGATCAGGCCCAGTACCACAAGGCTTGGCACGATGTCTGCACCGCCTCCGGTATCATCGTTCCCGGTGGCTTCGGTACCAGAGGTACCGAGGGTATGATGAAGGTTTCTAAGTGGGCGCGTGAGAACGGTACCCCGTTCCTCGGTGTCTGCCTTGGTTTCCAAACCGCCATCATCCAGTACGCCCGCGACTTCCTCAACATTCCGAACGCCACCTCGGAGGAGTTTGACGCCCAGGCCGAGAACAAGGTTGTCATCTACATGCCCGAGATCAGCCGCGACAAGCTCGGCGGTACCATGCGCCTCGGCCTGCGCCCGACCGAATTCCAGCCTGGCAGCGAGTGGTCCAAGCTGCGCGCCTTGTACGGCGAGGCCGACTCGGTGGAGGAGAGACACCGCCACCGTTACGAGGCCAACCCGGCTTACGTCGAGAAGCTCTCCGAGGCCGGCTTGAACTTCATCGGCAAGGACGACACTGGCGAGCGCATGGAGATCTTTGAGCTCCAGAACCACCCCTACTTCGTCGGAACCCAGTTCCACGCAGAGTACCAGTCCAAGGTTCTCAACCCCAGCGTACGTTTGCCCCCCATATCCCCTCCCCTCGTGTAATACTGACAAACAGGACAGAGACCCTACCTCGGCTTTGTTGCCGCCAGCGCGGGATGCCTCGACCGCGTGGTCAAGGAGGAGCTCGCCGCTTCCAAGCAGGCCAACGGCGTTAAGCACGTCGTTTAAGGATCTGTTGTCCTTTTTCGCATTTTTATCTTCCGGCATTTCTGAAAAGATGGGATACACGACAAAGAAGTTTATCTCAAAGTAGACATGACATGGGCAGGGAAGGTATCCGAGAAGGCAGTTGGGATTTTCTTTTTTTTTCACTCAAACCACTAGAGATTATATTGGGCTATCCAGAAATGAACCAACCAAAACAACTCATGAATGAACGCGCGTCTAATTAGATGGGGAACTTATCTTGGGGGCAAGGCGGATGGCATTCTCGGCGGCGCGGGCGTTTTCTTGTTCTAAAAGATGATATACTCTGCATGCCAGAAATTTCTGGGTTACAAATATAGGGGGCATTGCTCTCATTTTCAATCTTGACTGCAGAATGCTGTATCTTTTACAAATGAGCACTGCAACGATGAGCCGCCTGCTTGGTCTTTCTCCATTCACTTCGAACTCTCCCAAGCTGAATGTTTCTGTGCTTTGGGTTCTCCTTGGCGGATACGGATAAGGTAGACTTCAAGTGGTCTACGAAGAGAATACGTTTCACATGAAGCTTGCCAATACATCTGCCGAAGCACGGAAAAGCTGCCAACTGCCAAACATACTCCAACGGATGTATTTCCCGCCAATGAAGGTCTGGCGGTTATGATTATCGAACTGTTCATTCGAAATCCCAGAATGTGAATGCATCTCACACTGGTCAGCTGCGCACATCGACGCATCGGAGCCATGTTACCATTCTTGGTTTGTTGTAGGATTAAGAGTGAGATGCGGCGATTTACAATGCCGCCTTGGCGAAAACGTGGGATTCTCGTACGTCCTGTAGCTGTTGTTGGTCGTCCGGATCGTCACCCCGCAGTGAGAGTGAGGGGTGCATGCGGCGGCATGGGGATGTTCTTGGAGTGAGAGATGAAGCAGGGGGGTGTCATATCACTCCAAGTGTATCGGTTGGACTGCCCGATATCCCCAGATGGTAATTCTTGGGGGCAAGGTCCGGGGAACTGCCTTTGGGCGAGCGGTCGAGTGCTTGACCGTACTCGATGTCGAGCTACTGATATATAAAGTTGACGATGGGGCGTCTTGCCCATGCCCTACCTAGTCTGAGCAGGCACCGCCACAGGGTCGAGCCTCTCAATTACATGAACCGTTTCATTCAGGGTAGACACATCAGCCATGGAGAAGCAGAATGAAGCTACAGAGCAGCGCGTCGAGGCGACGACCTCCGCCCTGGACGACGAGAAGAACAATGGCCTGACCCACCGCCACATCAAAGAAGTCAACGTCCAATCCGTCGCCCTCGCCGATGCCATTGCCAAAGACAAGCCCAACTACAAGTCAAAGTCACAAATGACGCTCTACGCAATGATGTGTCTCTGTGTTCTAAGTACGTCTCTCAAGGCCCCCTCAAAGTCCTCTCTATCCAAAGACATCAGAACCGTGAAAGACTCAACTGACCATCTCCAACTTTTAAAAAAGACGGCATCATGAACGGCTACGACGGCTCTGTAATGTCCGCCATCAACGCAATGGAACCTTTTCAAGCCCGCTTCCAAATCGGCCTCACGGGCGAGCTCAACGGCGCCGTCTTCTCCATCTACACCGTCGGCAGCATCATTGGCAGCCTACTATGCGGATACATCATGGACCGCTGGGGCCGCCGCGCTTGTATGTTCTCCGGCGCGTCCATGATTGTGATCGGCTCCGTGCTGCAGGCGAGCAGCTTCAAGCTGCCGCAGTTTTTTATCGGGCGGTTCATTGTCGGTACGGGGACGCCCATGTGCGGGACGTCGGCGCCCGTGTTCTTGGTGGAGATTGCGTATCCTACGTGGAGGGGGTTGGCTGGGGGGTTGTATAATGTTCTGGGGTGGTAAGTTGGTGCGAATAGTGAGTTTTTTCTCTTTGGTGACTTGAGTGAATGTTTCGTAGTGGGAGCTGACTGTGAGCAGTGGCTGCGTGGACAAGCTACGGCACAAACTTTATCCCCAACGATTGGGCATGGCGCATCCCCTATATCGTCCAGCTCGTCCCGGCCACCATTGTCATCTCGGTCGTCTGGTTCCTACCGGAGAGCCCGCGCTGGCTATGGTCGCAGGGCCATACGGACCTCGCGGCGGCGATCCTGACAAAGTACCACGGCGACGGGAACCTGCGCTCGGCGCTCGTCAAGCTCGAGCTCGACGAGATCCGGACGTCGCTGGAGGCCGAACAGGAGCTAAGGAATAATAACTGGAACTATAAGATACTTGTCAACAACAGGCCGAACCGGTACCGCATGTGGCTCATCATGCTCGTTGCCGTCTTTTCTCAGTTTATCGGGGGATCGGTGATTTCGTACTATTTACCTGCGTGAGTAACACATTTCCAGCACGAAGCAGAATGGTACCTGTCCTAATTGTGAATTTTTCAGCATGGTGCGCGGCGTTGGCATCACGGACTCGAGCCGACAATTGCTTCTGAACGGGATCAACACCGTCATATCCTTCGTCAGCGGCATCTTCGGCTCCTTCTTCGTCGACAAGGTCGGTCGCAGGCAGCTGTTCCTCTGGGGCACCCTGCTCACGGGGCTCGTCTACATCCCCATCAACGTCCTCGCCGCAAAAGCAGAGCATCACCTCGACGAGGGCACCGCAGTCCCCAAGCCGCAGGCCTACGCCTTCATCGCCATGATCTTCTCGTACGGCATCTTTTGGGGCTTCTGCTGGACGCCGCTGCAGGCGCTGTACCCGGCGGAGATTTTGAACAACGAGATTCGCGCAAAAGGGATGGGCGCCAAGGGATTCATCTCTGGTGTTGCGAGCTTTATTAACACGTACGGCACGTCCGTGTCGATTAAGCATATCGGGTGGAAGACGTATACGATTTTTTTGGTGTTGCATTTTGTGCATCTCGGGTTGATGTACGTGTCTTGCGTTGAGACCAAGGAGAGGACGTTGGAGGAGCTGGAGGAGATTTTCAGCGATGCGAAGCCGGTGAAGAGGAGTTTGCAGAAGACTACTGTTGTTGTTGATCGTGGGCTAGGAGTTAAGGTCAAGGACGATGCTTGAGTACCGGGTGTTCTTCATGTACTACTTGAAGATCAGTGCTTTAGCTTGGGATGAAACATTAATAGGCCTATCCATCACGCAGAGCCAAAGGTCGAAGGGCGCGATGACTTTTTGTTGTGGAGCATTGTGACAAGTAAGGTTGGACCGACTAGATGTTCTGATGCTTTTACAGAATTTAAAGCTTGAAAAAGGTTAACAAGGCCGGACGGGCCGAGAGTTGAACATCGGATTCCGAAATAGACCGGAGACTTCACGGCCTAGTCGGGGCCTCTACAGCCCAGAACGCCTCGACCCGCCGCCCGATCTTGGCGAGATTCAGAGATGATTCACTCCTTGTAAGGGATGGCGACGTTGAATGGGGAAGCTCTATCTCAGGCAGCTTCAAGCATCCGCGTATTCATGTCATGTATTTTTGAGTGAACCCTAAGGTTACGGGAAGTATAAGATATCGAGGAGGCTCATACGATAGTTCATCTCCGCTTGATCTAGTGGTTCATGAGGCATCTTAGCGCAGTATCCTACATGTAGTCAAGCGACTCAAGCCTTTTCATCGGGCACCAGGAACCACACACGAGAGACAAGAGAGCCCGCTCGCTTGCAGGACCTCCCGGATCCTGAGCTCGAAACACATTCTTCTCTTCTTCTATGCTCTCTTATTCAAGAGCGACATACCAACACTGTTTAGTTGCCCGCATTACAAAGACTTCGTCCCAAGAGCCGTTTTTATTCCTAGAGGACTGCTAAAGGCGTAGTTCACACGGCGACCCGGAAGACTCTAGGTGCCGAGAGAACTCATTGTGAAGGTAAATTAAGAAACAGATAGCCTCTGAATAAGGCTAAAAGCAATGACTTTCACAAACGATAGCCCTCCGTCAGTTTTGTAGAGCAGCGACCCGCCTCGGCCCATCTGCCCTTGACGACATGGGTCATAGTGACATACAGCTTGCAGGGCGATTTCGAGAGCTGATAGTTTTATGAGCAGGATCTATTCAAGCGCCTTTGCAACTATTAGATAGCATTTCAAACTCGGCGTGGCTGGTGCGCCCGGCCGTAAACTTGAGATGCGTTCTTCATCTTCAAACTATAAAGGAACAGGGCTGAATTGTGGATTTATCTCCTTGGCTGCTCGGTCCCTGTGTGAGGCTGGGTTTCGGAGTTCGGACATGACTCTCGAATATGATGGGACAAGGGCATATATAATCCTCTATATCAGCAGGCAGACCTAAATTGGAAGGCCATGACTTAATTCCGGGCTAGCAGTGTGCTGGAGTCGTCTCAGGCTCTGAGGTTGGTTGTGCCTGGTAATAAAATAAGCTTTTGACTCGTCCCATAGCTTCAGATTTTCCCACGTGGCGCTACGTATAGACTTAGTTCTCAATGGGCAAGATTCGCCGAGATGTAGTTCCCCGAGGCCGATAATTAGGAAAGTGTTATGAGTCGTAGTTGCTCGGTACTCGGTTGCTAAAAGAGGAAAAAAAAGTAGTGGATGTTAAGCTTCGACTTGATGCAGCTACAATTTCGTATTAATCACTGCCGTGTCACGTATGAGGATGACTCGGATAAAGGCATCCCGCAATATAAACGGCCTCCCACAATATGCTGTAAGATGAAGTCTTGTGGAGGACAATTTTATAGTTCACGAACAGTCTGAGCTCCATTCGCTATCCCAGTCATTAAATTCACGAACAAATCAAGAACATGGATAAATTGAAATGATTAGAAGAGACTCTCAGGTATTTAATAAGGAAACCAGTTTCTTCGCTTTCAAACACTTTGCAATACCCATCTCTTGCCGCTTCTCAAATCACGTCCTCTCCAACACCGACCCGCCGTCAACGCTCTTCGAATTAGAGCTTCATCAGCCCCGAAACGAAATGCAATTCTCTTCAATCTTTGTGACGTTGGCGTTGGTCACAGCCGCTACAGCTATCCCCGGAAATGATGGTTGCCGTATGACGGATGGCTACAAGACCACCTGTGTCATGTCGAATAACCGCATGGCCTGCGACTGGCCGGCGGAATGCCCGGTTGGCCAATCGGTCAAGTTCGTTGATAACTCGCCGCAGTGCAAGGGGAAGGCAGCGGGTACGCCTTGTACTGGATACTGGAAGTGCTGTCCCCGGTAAACGTCCTGGTTTGATTAGTATTAGGAGAGAGTGAAAGGTAAGTTCCTCAAAGACCAACTTTGCGCATGTATTCTTGAAACACCCAACTAACGATCAGCCTAGCATACCTATATATATATGAGGATTGCGATGTCTGAGGTTCTGTGAATATACAACTTTCTGGCCATCGTTGGGAAAAATTGATGCTGGCCGAGTTTCTAATGCATTAGGCCAATGGGATTTGTTGTCCATAAGCTCTCACAGAGAAAGAGGTTCAGTTCCTGTGAGCCCTCAGTCTGTGTCGTAGTGTTTCGAGTCTACGAAGGCACAAGGGGATGATACTAAATTGTCGTCTAATATGGAATCTGCAAATTTGTTTTCCACCAAGAACGATGTTGATAGCTCTGAAGCTTGATGGCCTAGAGCCAATAGTGAGACTTTAAGCTACGACATTGCTGAAATTTCTTGCTAAGAATGACCCTTCGCAACCTTTCACTTGTTATCACCACCGTTTCCCAGCCGAAACTTCACACCTCAGTGGTTGTGATGGGCACTGGGTCAAGTGTCGTGGAGTTTGAAAGACTTCAGCGAACAAGTAAGGGCTAGCAGTTTTGGCAAAGAGGATTAGCTTCTATGGACTGATATCATGTTGTTATGCCGAATTGCCACCCATACCCAATCCAGCCCTATTTCTCCGAAGCGAGGGGGTGGTATGACGAACGAATCCCCAGTCCAATCAGTTACCCGAGATGCTAACGATAGTAGGGTCCGAGGAATTGAATTCGAGGAAGTGGACATGAGAATCAGCCCATTTGTTTAGGCTGTAGCTGTTGTTGGACTTGTCGGTGAAACTGAAGTTGTAGTTGTCTTCGGACTGGAAAGTCAACCTGTAGGTGTACATGCTCCGCCACGGGGCCTTGCTGAGCTTGCACCAGCCGATTGTAGCCTGGTTTTGGACATAATCGGAAGGTTCCCCTTCGCTTCCGACAGTCCAGTCGACTTGGACATTGAAGGGGGCCCGCTCGCTGCACCTTCTTCCCCATTATGGTCGTCTGAAATATCGTATTCCTCTGCCTTGACACGGTACGTTCCACTATTTTCGTTCAATGGCCGATATTGCCACAAGCGTGTCTTTACTCTTGGTGAGATGAAATTGATCTTAATAATTAAGAAGACAGTACCACTCAATGAGGATGCAGTCGATCGGGTTCTCAAAGCTCGGGGAGGGGGGGGGGGGGTCGGATCCAATAGTAGTCTTCCACACAGTCCGATGCTTGTAAATGGGATGAGCGAGGAAAACAGGGACGCACTTCCACTTGTCAAAAATCGGCTGAGCTTCGGAGCAGATGGAAGTTTTGCACTGTCATAAGATCTGACTTTTTCCAAAGTGAAGAACTCGAGGAGCCAGAATCCTTTCTTGAAGAACCCATCCCCGCTTCGACAGCGCAGCAGATTTGAAGTCTGCATCTCTGATGAAAGCCATACCCTGCAAGCTAGCGTGAGGTTTGGGCTTATTTGATATCCCGATGGGGATATCAACCACTGGAATGCTGACAGCAAGCGGATCACGGGAGAAGAATAGTCCCCCATCATCATCTTCGACGCCCAGTGCTGAGATACAAATAAAGGAGTTCCTATAGACGTTATGCATACCTGAAGCCTCTGCAAGCCAGTCATCTTCAGAATCTTGAAAATGCAGAAGCGGTCGATCCAGAGATACTCAAGCTGAAGCCTCTCCAGCACAATGAAGGCATCGCGAAATGTCTTTGGCAGATTGTTTACGGGCTGCGGAGTTGACAAGGTCGCCAGGTTGACCTGGTTCAATATAAGATTCCTATCCCAGGGCTTGGTTCCCCAGCAATGGCTGAGTGTTGCATACCTGGTTTGCGTCACAATCTCCTGCTTTGTATTAACTAAGCGGAAAGTTCTCCGTTGGTCGACCACCTCCAGTTTTAGGAGCCGGGAAGGTAGTGCTTGTCGATGGGTGTCTGAAATATCTCTCAAAGACTCTGCTGCGAGCTCTTGTTGGACGTTTCCTTCTTTCAACGACACAGGATTGCAGTCGCGGTGATTTCCAGCACAACCCCTGATCCAATTTTCGATAATGCTCCGAGGTACTTCACCTTTTGTGAACTGCCCGATAAAGTCATTGAAAAGCAGAGTTTGAGGCTCCATCAGCCCATAAATCAGCCTTCAATGTGCTGCAATCGGCTTTTTCAAACTTACCATCTACGCAAGATTTCCAGCGGCGCCATCGACAATATCGTGTGCCTTGGCACACTATCATGATGAAAGTGTTAACATGCTCTGCCTTTTCCACTTTGACAAGGAAAGTAGTAAAGTAGTCGAATTTTGGACAAATGGAACCGTCATAATCAGCAGTAACTTCAGTCTGCTAGTAGGCGGTAACGTTTGCGCAAGTATCACAGCCTTCAGACTTTGATTGCAACCATGACATCTTAGTAGGATGATGTGCGAATGCATACTTCTCGATATCAGAGCACGCATCAAATTGTGTCTTTCTGTTATTAAGGGACTTGCCGAAGAGAGGAAAGTCAACTGCTTTCGCTATCTCATCTGGGTCTGGCGTGAGCACAGGAGTCCCCTTCTGGTCGCTGTAGCCGACCCTTTTGACCTTTGAAGGGTTTCGGAAGCCTTCGAGGCCAATCAAACAGACCTGGCATAGCATGGTCTCAATATACTTCACATAGTATCTGATTCAATCAGAAATTCATGTAATATGTCTACTTGCCCGATCTTTGGCTGAAGTGGTAGAAGGACAAATCGTTTCTTAGGCAGTCAAAGCTGCGGCGAGGAGCTCTGCAGAAAATAACGCATCTTCGTGCCGCACAGCTGCAACCAATGAGCACAAAGCTGCACGCGCTGAGAGACCGACTAACTAGCCGTTGATGAACCTATCTTACTACACACTGGATTGATCTTACTCCGTTGCGTCAGTAAAATGCTTGCCTTCGTATACGTTTCAATACGCGCCGCCTCCCTTGATCTCTCAGCTCTACAACTATACTAGCTCTGATGTATCCGAGTCGACTGGCCAGTCGGTGCATCCGGATCTTGGTTCTGCAGCCTGGTACTGACACTGGCCCGATCCAAATCGGACTTCAGGAAGCAAGTATTGACGATCCCCCAACGTTCGAAGCGCTGTCATATGTCTGGGGGGATCCATCACAGCGCCGGCAGATCGACTGCTCGGGACAACCTGTCTCGATTACCCAAAACCTTCACGATGCTCTGCAACACTTTCGGCGTCCAGATAAAGAGCTGTTGATATGGGCAGATGCTCTATGCATCAATCAAGAGGATATGGATGAGAGAGCAGACCAGGTACAACTTATGAGAGAGATTTACTCGCGTGCTGAGAGGGTGGTAGTATGGCTAGGCCTCGACAACGAAGGCCGGGCCCCCCGGGCGATGTCTTTGATCAAGACGATTCATCAAGCTTGCGAAGATCATGCATTAGCCAAGAATATCGACCTCTTGAGTATGGCTCACTTTACGCCGGCGACACAAGCGCTGGAAGGACTCGCAGGGGTCTCTATCGAGGATATTGTCGCGGTTGGCGCGCGTTTGGGCAATCCAAAGTCGAAGGCAGAAGACTGGGAAGCGCTGGGGTGGCTGCTATCTCGACCTTGGTTCACGCGAGTTTGGTGCGTGCAAGAAATCGTTCTAGCCCGTTCTTCAAGAGTCTGCGTCGGCTCTGAATCCTTAGATTGGGTCAAGCTGGGAGTTACGGCTGCCTGGTTAAGCGAGCAGCATCTTGTGAACGACTACGATGTGCCGGCGGAGATCGAAGGTATGCCATTTGACAACGCGCATGCCATGTTCAACACAAGCGACGTGCCAGAGTCTACTTTCTTGGAAATTCTCATTGCTTTTCGGGATCACCAAGCCACCAATTTGAGGGACAAGGTCTATGGGCTGTTGGGACTCATGCGCGCAGAGGACCTCGAGTTTTTCCCTCCTGTAGACTACCGAAAAAGTGTGGCGGAGGTTTACGCCGATGTTGTCATTACTGCTGTCAAAGGCAGTAACTCGTTGGCTTCTCTGTGTTATGTCCAACACGGAATCGAGTACAACCAGACCGATGTTCCTTCCTGGGTACCAAGATGGGATGTGAGCGGCGACGTTTCAACCATTCTCGATAGTCGATCCCTGACAGCCTGGAATGAAGGCGACAAGCATGGTCTTCCAGACCTGACAAACTTCGCTCCATCATCGGAAGGCAAGCTATTCTTGTCTGGTGTCAGGTTCGACACCATTACTTGGATAACTCGCGCTCTGGACGTTCAAGACTTCAAGGAGATATCCACGGGGTCTGTAGCGTCACCTCATCCAATGCTAGATCTATGGAACCGTGCGTCTTCAAACATGTCGTATCCAGGATCTCAATTCAAAGATTCGCTCATGGCCGTGTTGATGGTGGCACTCACTCTGACTGCTGGAGTTACTGATGGGTACGAGCGCGTCGAAGAGCTCGAATCATCTGACGACCGTGAACAGTTTCACGCAGACTACCTCACATACATACACAACTTACTTGAGATTTCTGGCCTAGAGTCTCCTACTTTCGAGCCTCTTAACATCGCGTTGAGTGACGGGAACGCCTCACGATTCAGAGTCGCAGCGTCCCGCGCTTGCGACCAGCGACGTGTATTTGAGACAGTAGAGGGGTTCTATGGACTAGGGCCAGCCTGCGCAAGAGAAGGAGATGTAGTTGTGATGTTGTACGGTGGTCCGATTCCGTTCGTTCTTAGAGAAGTTGACAACGGATGGTGGCTACTGGGCGACTGTTTCATCGACCCGCTCATGCCCGAGGCTGCTGACGACACGATTAGAGCAAGGTTTGGTGAGGGGGAAGCCTTTATGCTTGTCTAAACACGACCCGAATTGAGTGCAGCATTATGTCAGTACATCGTAGTTCAAAAATCTCAAAATATTCATTTCGGTTCCCAATATCCTGAACCCCGTCTATTCAGTGAGTTCCCCTCAATCGAGAACTACCGAGGTGGATCTCGCTTTGCTGTGCCCCCGGGCTGCGTAGCTTGCCCCAACGAGTTATACACAAGTGATTACATCATTTTTTTGGTATGAAGGGCTCTATTTGAAGAAACTTGTTGGTCGCCACGATCTTGAACTGCGCATATTGGCCGATGCCGCGACCTTTTATTCCCGGGCCGGGGCAGAAGGATCTTTGGAAAGCGGAGTTACTCACATAAAGTCGGGGAAGTCCCAACGAACCCCTCAATAACGCCTTTAAATGATCTTTCTTCATGAAGAAAGAACCAACTTCGGACATTATTCGATTGACAAGAAGCAAACATAACTTTCCAAAATGCACTCCATGTCAGAGCCCCCAGAGATCGTCACCCCGCAGGACCAGACGGGTTCCACTGTGTACCAAGAAAGCTGGAGTTTTCTTGACGATGTGAAGGTTAGTCATCGCTTCATACTGGTCATCTGGGCCAGTAAGTGAATAGTTTGGACTTTCCTGACCAACATTTCAGCGACGCTTCGAGACAACTCAGCCGGAGGTTTATGCGGCCTTCATCCAGGCACTGAGTAGGTTCTATACTGCCACACAGAACCCAACAGGAAACTCTGAGGCGGTGCTCTTTGAGACCCACGAGACAGTGAAGGCATTGCTGCAAGGGCATGAAGACTTATTAGAAAGATTCGAAAGCAGTCTTCCCCAAGATTATCTTCATCGGAGGCATGAAGCAGCGGCGACGAGGCAAAGCTAGTACCCTGCAAAGAAAATCTTCTACTTTATACATGAAGTTTCTCATCCCACATCAAGCCACATTGAAGGAGCGTCATATGACAAGATAAACTCGGCTCATCTGTGCTTGCATCAGTCCGGGTCAGCGGAAACACTCGTCGGTACACAAGCATCTTGGTGTTCTGAGCTTATCCGGTCCATGAAGCATCCAGGTCCTTTTCCGTGCAGGATCCCTTGTTCGTGCAACGCTCGTTTCCCATCCCGATACCCCAAATATGACGCGCCGAAATTCTCCCTGGAAGCTTTTCCCAACTTGCGGAGATCCTCGCCACTCCCACGTTCAAAATCACTCAACCAACCGTAACTCGCCAATGCCGCTTGCCCCACAGCTCCCAGATGCTCTTGGCGCATTTCCCCTCTTTCTGAATGATCCTAGAGTCTTGGTCCTAACGCCGGGTTGTCAGACAATGCTGGCGGCTGTGTCTCCCTTTCTCCATGATGGGCCTAGGAAGATCCCCAAGAACCACGGTTCTTCTCGCTCATCAGCAACAGTCTTTGCATTTCACGTACGGGGTTTTATAACGCCATCCAACTACAAGCCATGTTGTCAACCCCAGACTTTTGCAACTCCAACCTGGGATTGCGGGGTGACTCGATCATGTGGGGATGAAGACCCGAGGTTTCCTGATATTGACATGACTTGAGAAGCTGCCCACTGTATATATCAGCTAGAATACCTATATCTCTCCAATTGCCGAGACATTTCGATGTGATGAATCGGATGCAATGGCACGCCGGTCCTTTGAAAATATCCTATACTTTGTGTTTGCCGTGTCTTTATATAGATCAGCCAGCGACCCTCACGGTTCCGAAGCCGACCGCCCCAAGTGACCGCTGTGCAACCCTTAGCATTGCCCCTCATATTTACTTTTCAAGATTTGCTCGGTCGCAATGGCATCGAATGGTGAATTTGAGGTGCGCCATCTGCGTAAGGCAGCTGAAAATGAGGTTGAAGAGAAGCTTGGACAGTCGGCTATTTACGAAGCCAAGCAAGCTTCAGACGATGAACATGCGCAAACCCTTCGGCAGGCACTCAGAGAGAACCGCAAGGCGGTATTATGGTCTGTTATGATCTCAATGTCCATTGTGATGGAAGGGTGAGCAATTTCGGTTTCGAGACTTTGATACTCCCGAGGCACATGTTTGACATTGATTTCTTCCAGATACGATGTCATCCTAATCAACAACTTCTTTGCCTATCCAGAGTTTCAAAAGAAGTATGGCAGTTGGTATGGCGAGGAAATTGGCTATCAGGTCTCTGGACCGTGGCAGACAGGTCTGACGATGGCTTCCACGGTGGGTGCCATCTTTGGTCAGTGTTTCCGATCTCTTGACCAAAACAAGCTAGTAACTGACACCAAACAGGCGGGTTACTGAATGGATACTTCGCGTCCAAATATGGCTATCGATGGGTGATGATCGGCGCCATGTTCTTCTTGAACTGCTTCATCTTTGTCGTTTTCTTTGCGCACTCTGCCGCCATGCTTCTGGTTGGGCAAATTCTTTGCGGCCTTTCCTGGGGCGTTTTTGCAACGCTAAGTCCAGCTTATGGTAAGTCTCATCACTGATGTTTGATATCTTATACGCTGCTGACTGGTCTTGCCATAGCTTCTGAAGTCTGTCCAACGAACCTTCGCGGTTACATGACTACATACGTGCGTTGTCTCTAAGGGCTACCATGAAGTGCTGCGACTAATTCGGTCTAGGTAAATCTTTGCTGGGCAACTGGTCAACTCATGGCTGCTGGTGTACTCCGCGGGTGTCTCAGCATTGAGGGCGAGATGGCCTACCGGATTCCTTTCGCAATCCAATGGGTGAGTTCGCCCCAAGAGTCTATCTACAATTTATCGAGTCGCATAACCTAATAGAAACCTTGCTACAAGCTCTGGCCTGTTCCTCTGATGGTTGTTTCGTATCTGGCACCCGAGAGTCCGTGGTATCTAGTCCGGAAAGACCGCCTCGAAGACGCTAGACGGTCCATCGAGCGACTCAGCGGCGACAAGACTCAAGAGCAAATTAATGCTCAGCTAGCAATGATGGTTCACACAACTAAGGTCGAATCGGGAGTGACAAGCGGCGTGACGTACCTTGATTGCTTCAGGGGCATTGATCGTCGACGCACTGAGATATGCTGTGTTGCGTTTGCAGGTCAAGTCATGTCTGGCAGCAGCTTCGCTTACACCCCGACATACTTCTTCACTACCGCGGGAATGAAAACGGCGAATGCATTCGAACTGAGTCTGGGGGCAAAGGGAATGGCCTTCCTTGGGACCGTTTTGTAAGAATCTTGAGGTTGAAAAACCTGACAAGTAAGGTCAGGCTGACTCTGAATGTTTAGATCATGGTGGCTCATCACTCATTGGGGGCGACGTGCGATATATGTTACTGGGATTGGAGCTCTCACTGTCATCCTGTTTATCATAGGCATTCTTGACGTGTCCGCTGGCGAGAAGGGTCTATGGCCATCTGGCGGTCTTTGTGTCTTCTGGCTTTTTATCTACGTGAGTGAGACCTCCTGATACATCAGAAAAACCGAAGTCAAAGGGGGCGAAGCTGATGATTACAGTCTCTCACCATTGGGCCTATTACTGTACGTCACTGAGACGCAAATAACCAAGTCTCCCCGTTTCCTCTGTCACCCTGGCACACAGGGAGAGCGTTCCTAATAAATGCAACAGTATAGCGTCATCAGCGAAACGTCTTCGGTTCGTCTTCGCCCATTGACAGTTGTGCTATCGCGAAATGCCTACCAGCTTGTCAATATTGTGTCGCAAGTCCTGCAGACTTATATGATGTGAGTACCGCATCACTAAAGCTGACAACAATTGCGAAAGCAAATGCTTATCACCGGTGTAAAGGAACCCTACGGAGTGGAATCTGAGAGGCAAGGCCGGCTTCTTCTGGGCGGGTACCGCAGGGATCACCTTCATTTGGTCATATTTCCGCCTACCTGAGTGTAAAGGCCGTACGTACGAGGAGTTGGACATGCTCTTTGCAAGAGGGATCCCGGCTAGAGACTTTTCAAAAGCTCACGTGGATGCTTACGAGGAGGCTTCGGATCATATTGAAGATGCAACATCACGGAAACAGGACCTTTAAACAACGCGCTTTGCTATGATAACTCGAGATAGCCCACCCAACGCTGCTAATGCCGCAAAAGAGGCCGCCCAATCAACTCAAGAATATTCATGATTTCCCTAGAACTTACAAAGGCTTCTGGCCGGTGACGACAATGAAGTCGAAGATGGGGTGAACGTCTCTCTTTCGTACCGCCGCTCGAACCCCAGCGTTGAGGACAGTCACCTCCTCCAGAGACCATCCCAAAACGTCCTTGAATAGCGCGGCAGTGAATGCCTCCACTCCTTCCAGAAAATTAACTCCCATAAGCGTGCCGACCTCCTTCAATCTGGCGTCTCTAGGCCAGCTGCCAATGGGCAGCTTGAATCTTTGCTCGCCCACCTTCTGGAAACCAGCCTCTTCGGTCCAGCGCTTAAAAGATGGTGCCGGGTCCATTGTTCTCCCAATCTTCTCACAGGCCTCCATGAGTCCGTCCATCATTTGGACCATAGCGTTGTCAGGCTTGAGTGAGCCATCTTCGGAGTACAGAGTGTTTGCAGATTCTTGGAACTCGACCCAGCCGCCGGGTTTCAGGTTCTTGTAGATCTGGTTCACCAGCCGAGGCCAGTCTTTGATGGAACCTGCCATGTAACGGCAGTGGATGTAGTCGTACTGCTCGGGCTCCGCCCAGTCTAGCTCAACGTCGTCGATGATGAACTTAACGTTCGGCGGCACCCATTGTGGCTGGATGGGACTGAGGTCGTTCCCAACAATCACTTCGGCCTCGGGGTGCTCGTCTCCAAATTGAATCGGCCAGATACCCGTGCCGGTGCCGATATCGAGAACCTTCAAGCCCTCTGTTTTGATGGGCGCAAGGTACAGGCGATCGTTCATCAACCTGAAGAAGACATGATGGATCATATCGAGCCGGTCCTGTTCCTCCTCGTCGTTGGGGAAATTGTAGGAGCCGGATTGATAGCCATGGTATCGGCGACCGTGCTTCCATTCGTACGTTGACGTGACTGACTTGAGCGAGGTGCTGGCGCGAGAAGCCTCATCATCGCCCCAAGACGAGTCATTTTCCTCCCGATCGACTTCTACCTCCACTTCGGGAGCGGGCCGCTCGGGCTCGGGCTCGGGCTCAGCCCCGGCTCCAATTTGGGGGCTAGCCGGTGTCGAAGCAGCAGGAGTTGGAGTTGGTTCTGCCATTTTCCTTTCGTCAGAGGTGATGGGAGCCCAAAGGACTCGATCAATTGAGCAAGAGGCTTTGACTAAGGACCAGGAGCATAAGGTGATCCGGGTACTCGGTAACGCCTCGTGGAGAAATGGAGGGAGATCAGAAGAAAAAGAAGAAAGCAACGCTGTTCTTCAACGGTCAGTCTGAGTCTAGAACCCGCTGCGGGGCGCCATGGAATATGGTGTGGCACCTGACGGGGGCATCACGGACCTGTAAGGTGAAGACTCGCGACTTCGGTCGTAATCTTGATGGAGCGCATAAAGCGGATCATCCGGTTTCCTGACTCTGAGAGGTCGATTGACCGCTAATTTGCTGTGCTAAGTTCAGACTAGAGTCGCTGACGACAAGGATACTCGTGGTGTAACGTCCCATCAACAGCTGGTCGTTGATAGCATTCGGTAATTGATCTGCAAAGTTGGGATGCCACGGGAATTTCAATGTGTCCGTCAAGCATCTTTTGGTGATTTTCAGGAAATTTTAGCCACTCCAGCGCGACGTTTCAACTACTAGGCCATCAAGTAGAAGATTAGATGTATATCCTGCCGCTCAACATCCTATCAACATTACCTTCTTTCTCCGAGTTGTATCAAGTAGGACTATCATTGCTCTCCTTGGTTGATCTCTCAGCACATTCTGGTTGTCATACACATTCGAGGGCGAGGAGCTTCTTGTTGATGATGCGAAAGAGATTAAGTTCAGGTTTCCAGCACGTTATCTGAAAGTAAAATAAAAGTGTCAGTCCTTGGATGGTTATTGATTCATACTGGATGAGCCTGCAGGAGACCACAAAGAGATAGAGGATCAGAACTGTGATGCAGATTAAGGGCTAAGTAACACAACTTCTAGTCGAGTTTTCCAAACAAATCAGAAGTTGCAATATGAGTTGACGACCAAACAAAGTGAGCATTATCAGCATGCGGACGATTCAAGTCGAGCATTCATGTGTGTTTATGGACTTTAGCAGCTTCGTGCCTATATCCCTTTTCGGCGCACTAGAAATTGTGCTCAAATTGTTATGAATCAAGTGACTTCAGTTAAACTCCGATGCCTTAAAAGTATTGGAAACACCACTCTCCTGACACTGGCACTACAATTCAATCGGGGGAAGGCCTGCGCCTTACGTCACAAGACTCAATCACTAATGCATGATACATGGATACATGAGATTTGCCACACTGCTGAGTATGCAGATATGGAGTCACCATAGAAAAGGGCCGTTCGTAACCAAATTGCTTGGCTCTCCAAGAACAAGCTGAAAGTGTCCTCAAGATTTAACTGACGCGTTCAATGTGTTGTATTTTCACACAATACGAATCAGGCCGCAGACAACTACTGCGTGAGACAGCCGTGGAATAGCAAGTCTAACCTAATGATTCAGCCAGCCGCGCATGGGTTCCTCAAAATGCAGCTAACGCGTGAATTGGCTGATACTATTGAGTGAGCACTAGCCACATGCACGTATGTCTCAGAAACCACAATTTGCTGAAAGGAACAAGTTGTAAGAAAAGTGGGATACCGGCATATCGCAAACTCTCCAATAAGGAGGCAAAGCCACAATGTGATGGATCCGAAAACAGAAGCGCCGAAATGATGGTCTGGGCCTCCGGCGACAATTGCAATTATCATCAAGATCCGGCGAAATGCATGGTCGAAGTCCAAGACCTTCAGCTCGTTCTAGAAAAGTTTGAGTGTTGTCGCAGTTCGAGATTCCGCCTTTCACACTGGTTTTAAGAGACACCGATTCTCTGCATTATGACCGTTGATGGCTTCCTGTAACTGTTCCTCTTTACTTCCTTTATTTCAGCCATCTACTACCCTACTAGCTTAATCTGAGCAACAATGCGTTTATCTGTACCATCCTCGATAGCCCCGGCATGGCATTATTCCAGATCCTTGCTGGTGCTGGCATACTTTGTGTATCCGGCCATTAGCCAACTTGTGGCCAGCACCAGCTTGGTGACTCCTTTCTTTCCACTCCTGCAGAATGAAAATACTACGGAACTCTTCCCCATGCCTGTTTGCGCTGGAACCTTTAAGTTAGAAGAAGCTACTATCGACCAAATGCAGAAGGCTATGAAGGATG